GTCTGACGACTGTCGTTCTAGCTCTTTCCATTGTCTTGACAGTCTGTCGTGGTAACGCCAAAAAAGTCGTGAACGACAGTTAATCGTGTTGTATGTTCTATATTTGAACAACTTCATATAAATATACACTTGTAAAGACACTTAAAACTGCACGACTATCTGTCGTCACGACACAATAGGAAACCTAAGCCGCTAACCAACACACAACACAGTATTTTTTGAATCTACTTAACTTCAACCTTTGGCAGCCTGTATATTTTTTTAGAAGTACTGCCACTTCACTTATTTCTGCTCTCAAGCATGTGAACATTACTGCGTTGCGGTTTTGAAGAGTAAGGGTGCTGGTGAAATTACGGGCACATGGGACTTGTCAACTGTGTCTTAGGGTGATGGGCGTAGTGCAGTGACCTTCAGATCTTTGCGATTTAAAGTTCGAAGTGGCACTGCAACTACTGGGGACAGGCGTGTCGTTTACCATCAGGCGGATAATTTGTTCATCCCGTCACTTAGCATCATAAAAAAATACTTAAGCAGCACATTTTTATTGTGAATTATTGTTGACACTATTTCGAAGGTAGTTATTTGTTTACTTACATCTCCTTTTGATGGCCTTGTATTTGGGTGATATTTTATAGAAGTGGGTAGGCATGTTATAAGTAAGCAAAGGGGTTGGCTAGATTCTTTACGAGTTCCCAGCGATTTGCCGTGTACGGATAAACCTATTTAGGTTTTTGTTGCGCCGCCATGTTAAAATTCGTAAAAATTCCTTTTTTTAAATTTTTAGTAATAAAAAACTAAGAAAGGCGAAAGGTTGTTTATACTAACAGTCAAAGTCGCAACAAATAATTTTGTCAGAATTAGTAATTTAAAATTTGTTTCAACATACACAAATCAAACATTTTTTCATAATATTTATACTATGCTCAAAAAATATTTTGTTTTATTTAGTTATTCACAAGCGCCTGTAACTTAAGTGGTTGAAGTAGTATCATTTATTTTAACCCTGAGATTATTATAGAACCTTGTAGGAACACTTTGTGTTGCAACACACGACTACAAGAAGTGACAGTGTTTGTAGATCAGTTTGTTAGTAGACTATTTATGCAGTTTATTATTTACGTCAATATCACCCATGTGCGAACACATTTTATCTACCACATCGAGATTTATGAAATCATCAATAATATTGAGTGTCAACGCCGTCCGGAAAGGTGATAGGTGTTAACATGCGGCGTTCCAGTTCGTGTCTCAGTATCGGAAAATTTCCACAGCACCATAATAATGTGTACAGAGGACAATCGCACAGCAAATAAGACCACATTAAGTCGTAATAACGCCTTTAATAGTACCGCTAATCCCATTCGACAAATATTTTCCATCCAATTTTAGCCGCAGATAGGGCTCAATTAGATTTAACAATTGACAGTTGTTAATATTGCAAATAATCGTGTATCTACAACTAGCTGGTGCCCGCGACTTCATCTGCGTAGAATGAGTACTACGAGTAGTCTGTACTATACTAATTTTCATAGTTTTATTTCATAAATTTTCATTCCCTATTCCACCCCCTAAGATTTATTTTTGTTACAAAAAATAGTCTATGTCCTTTTCCTAGGTCTCATCTATCTCTATACTAAAATTCATCACAAATGGTGTTGCGGTTTTGGCGTCAAAATGCAATAGACAGACATAGGCGCTTTCGCATTTATAATATTTGTTTGGATAATTAATTGGTTAGGTACAATGAATAAAAAAAAATTGTTTCTCGTAAGAATCTAATAAAACCAATATTGTTTCATTTCAATTGAATAGGAATATCAAAGACAAATTAAGAGAATTCCTCAGCGGGTCATAAATGTTATTAATACATACAATTGGCCAGAAATCGATGTAAATATGTTAGAAGTAAGAAGCGATTTCGTTCTAGGCTTGAGACACAAAGAGATTCTTACTAACAATAACATAAAGTTTCCAGTATTGTATTTCTAACAAGCAGGAACGATAGATATCTTTTGACACGAGCTGTTTACGCACATGGTGGACGTACAAATAAATCAATTAGATTCGTACCAAGAAAGCGTTCGAGTCAGTATTTGAATTCGTGTGTAGAAAGGAATATCGGGAAAATGATTTCTGTTCACAATTCTTGCAAAAAATATTATAAACATTCAAAAGTAATTTCGAAGAAAATGGAGTACCCTGCTCAAACAGGGAATAAGACGCAAATAATATACGCATAAAGGCAAAAAAAAAAGTTTTTCGACGACGTCAAAAGAAAATGGCTGACGGGAGTAACGGCAGAATTTTAAACAGTTAATACACCTAATCTGGGTATTCGGTACTGGCTTCTCTTTTGAGTGTAATCAAGCGTCTACAACAGGAGGCTGTATATATTCCCGCTTTGAGGTACCACATTAAATTAATAAGAAAGCTTTTGTTACAAGACTGTTTGGAAAAACCCTGTTATTTGGCATTCGATAGTTCTTAGAAACTTAATCTTCAAACAAAATATTACCAAAGGTTTCTGAGTAATATGTATGTTTTCGTTTACTTTAAGTAAAAATTTGAATTCAGATATTATATTGATTGGAAGAAGAATCGATTTAGTACCAATAGAACTTGTGAAAGAGTTCATCCAGGGAAGTACTGCTACTTTACCCACTTCCGGTTGTGAAGGGTAAGGTACAGGTACACGTCATCTTGTCTCAAGATAACGGGCGCAGTGGCAGTGCCTCTCGGATCTTTGCGATTGGTCTTAGTGGCACTGCAACTCGTATAGACAGGCGTGTCGTTTACCACCAGTTGCACGACTTATTCGTTTCGTCACTTGATATCATGAAAAGATTGCGGACATCACTGAGACCTTTTACTCACTAGAACATAACAACTGTTCTTCTCCCTTAGATTTGATCTAGATACATAGAGACCGTCGCAGCGTCTATGTCAATTACAGCTATTATAAACTCAAGACAATAATAAATTCTGTTACCTCTCGTAATCTCTTCATTAATTTTGAAAGTCGACAACACTGTTTTACCACAAAGCGTCATCTGACGCTACGCTAACGACTTAATTATCCCGTACAAGGACGTTATATTACACTACGTTTTCAGATTAGACACGTTTACCAAAATTCTAAAGATTAAATGTCTGAAATTACTTTGTAATAAGCCAGTTTGTTTTTTGATCATTTACAGAGAAGAAAGGTTTCGATAAGAAATTATATACATTTACGTTGAAAATTTTGTAAATGAAATGCGTGAATTCATTGTGTTAATCGGTTGATAGATAGTGCCTGTTCATGATCAAACAACGACTAAATTTAAAGAAAACATTATGTAAAACAAGTTACGTACATATTATTAAGTACTGAGATGCGGAACTCGAATATCTTTTATTGCAGAAATACAAAGAAAAGGTACAACGAATACCAAACTTATCTCAGTGATCTATCAAGTGTCTACTGATACATTCAAGACTCTTAGATAAACTTGCAAATTCCAAAAAGTGGCGCAGTAAATGGTATATGATGGATTGTTTGACAATGATACAAATATTTTATTCAATGTTGGTTTATCGAGATTGTTCTTCTTAATCTGATAGATAGCCAACAAGTGACAGCCAAAGAACTATGTATTTTTGTTCCTTACGACTAAAAGTTCTAGATTATTCTACTCACTTAAAAAAAATATCACGACGTTGGGATCAACTATTTACAAGTGTTAATCCTTAAACATCTGCGAGCTTCCATGCCCTACATATAAAATAGTGTAGTGATTCCCAGGCAATGGAAGGTCGTAGATGCCTTTTCAATAGCTTTTTTTTCAATAACTTTTTCATTGAAAAAAACAAAAATCGTCCTCAAAAGTTTGCTATCGGCTTTTTCCAATTTCCATGGGATCCCCTCATCATATTCTGACTTTTTAGTGACAATGGGACTGTTATGGACTGCTTTGTACATTTTATACTTTTTTCCTGGTTGTGCTGGTGACGGTGATTTGAGGTGAGTTAATTACATGTATTGTGTCAAGTGAAAAGTCGACTTTTACATGCGGAAAATATTTTTTTAATTTGTGATAGCCGAAATGAACCCGGAATAGTATCGTTGGCATCAGGGACCACCTCGAGAGTATATACCCTTACAAACAACCCTTACAAAAACGGTCTACAATTGACGGACAAATCTGAAAACATACATAAAACATACCTACAGCCGAACGTATATCCTCCTCCTTTTTTTAAGTCGGTTAAAAAAGAGGATATCATGTTTTCTTTTGTGGGTAAATATTTTAACGTTTTACGTATAGAGCTTATGTAGCAACGTAGTGAATTAAAAAGTACCGCACACATAAATTTCTTTGTGCCTTTGTTGATACTTCTCTATGGAGAAGCAGTAAGCAGCAACTACATAAAAAGCACTTAAAATCGCGCTGTTAGTTGGTTTTTTGAGATCCATATAGCGAAAAGGGGTACCCTGTACTAACTCTGACATTTAATTTTACGGTAAAAGCCGTTGCTGTCCACGAGTTAATCGATTACTTTAAAAAAAAGTAAGGTGGATTAAGAAACAAAGATATTATAAGAAATTACTTTGAAATTACGCTTTTGTTTAGTGCAACAGTACTGAATATATAACTGACATAGGAAAAAAGCTTCGGGCCGTTTGCAGTGGTTTTTAACCGACTTGAAAAAGGAGGAGTTTCTCAATTCGACTATTTTTTTGTGTGTATGTTACGCGATTACTCTTTACGATTTGTGAACAGATTTTGATGATTATTTTTTGTTGAAAAAAGAGCACCTCTGTATTGGTCTCATTTAAATTTGAAGAAAATATTCCGCCTCTAAGGGTGGCAAACTAGGGGATGAATCCGGTTTCGCGCACTTTCCGGTAACCGATTTCAATAAAACTGGCAAATAGATGTAATTCCACGATCTTTTGAGGTGGGGTTTTTTTTATAAAAAGGCTGTAAATATCCGTGAACCAAATCGGTAGTACTCACCTTGAGCGAAGCCATATCGGAGACAGATCGATGTGTTTGTATGGTCTCCAGTTGGTCCAAGCACCAATCCAATTCTTCCACAGTTTCTAGTGCTAGCTTCATATAGGCTTCGTCTGTAACAATGGGATATTGATTATGAATTATATCTTATACAGGTGATCATATCTTATACAAGAATGACTCTCGAATAAACATGCTATTCTATCAAGTCGATTTTACTTTTTTTAGCATCAGGTATTAAAATATAAAGTATGCGTAAGCAGCTAAAGGGCGTTGAGATGGAAAAATAAACATACATCCTCCTCCTCCGCCAACTTCAACTGATTCATGAAACATTTTAGCAAAGAAATTTTCATCATGTGTGTTATAGTTAATGTTTGATTATTACGTAGTATTTGAATTGCAAGTTGTGATCTTTGTATTCAAAGAAAAATGTGAATACATTTTTATGACAGCGCATCCTTTTTTTAATAGCAGTAGAGCTCCTTGTGAAAGAGTTCGTCCAGGGAAGTACTGCCACCTTATCTGTTTCTGCCGCTAAGCAGTAATGTCAGCATTACTGTATTCTGGTTTTGAAGGGTGAAATTACAGGCACATGGGGCTTGTCAACTTATGCCTCAGGGTGACGGGCGCAGTGGCCACTCAGATCTTTGCAACTTAAAGCTTTGAGTGGTATAAAAAACCCCTTCGTGTAATAAAGTCACATCTGCAAAATGACATTTTTCACGAGACAGTTTTTAAGATTCTACACACGAAATTAGTTGCAACTTATTATGCCTAATTAAGAGTGTTACAAAATTTCACATATGCATGACTTGTTTCATGTAGTTTGTATTGTTTATATGACTTTCTTGTGATAAAAGCATTTCGGACGTTTGATCACACTCATGTGGTACACGCTTTATATTATTTATCATTATTATTATACCAAAGGTAAGCAATATCGTGACGTATAACATCTCTATAAGTCATTCGATGACCTCAGTATTTGTACGGTTTGCGCTGTAGACGTTAGACGGGGAAGTCCCGGATTCGATTCCCGGTAGGCCTATTTGGGAAATGAAATTTTCTAAATTGGTTCGAGTCTGGTTGACTTGGGAATCCCCAGTTTGAGACCAGGCAATTGGTTGGTAAATTATAAGGTCAACAAGCAAATCCGATTGTGTCTGTCACACAAATAAATAGAAGCTAACAATGTTAATTTAAATGCAATTGTGTCTTAATGAACGCTGCTGGTGTGCGACAAAAAGGCCGACTGTTTTATACGTTTTATATTGCAGATAAGGACGACGTAATTGTTAATAAAAATCAATGAGTCAACAATTTTTCTTTCTGGTTTCTGTAGTTCACAGTTTTCAACAATTTCATATGCAAAAAAAATGATCATAGCTTCATATATACACAATTCGCTTATGAAACCACGTAATGTCGTAACTAAAAAAATGTGATTGAGAAAACTCGAATTGAAAGTTCAAAAATTACAGATTGGAGCCTATATATTTATATTTTCGTTTATGAGAGAATAACTAAACATTATTGTATAAATAAAAATAATCCCATTATTCGCAATAAGATTAGTTCAGATTTTTTATAATTTTCAAATCGTGTCTTCTCAACACCGACGACCTCCGTGGTCGAGTGGCTTGCACATCGTTTTTCATGGTGTTGCCATCTCTGAGGTCCCGGGTTCGATCCCCGGCCGAGTCAAGTAGAAAGCTATTTTTTCTATACCTATTGTCTCGGGTCTGGGTGTTTGTGGTACCGCCGCTGTTTCCGATTTCCATAACTCAAGTGCTTTAGTTACTTACATTGGAATCAGGGCAACATATGTGACGTTGTCTAATATTTATATTTATCAATACCACCATTTTTGAGTTCGACAGTATATAATTTCATGTGTGATATGTTAACAACACGTTGCACAGATATATCGATAGAAATCCTTTTTAATTATATAAGTATTTGACAAAAACAACTATCATGATGATGCCATCATTAAACAGTAGAAGAAATGTAGTCAAAAGATGTAAATATATACTCAGAGTATCATTTCATTATCACGTATAAGCCATGATACTCGTATCTTCGCCTTGACGCAATGTTACAAACCAATAAGTTTTAAGTAAATAACAAGTGAATTGTGACACTTGCATATTTAGTAAGATAACACCATGAAATAATGCTGGATTTTAGTAACATTATATAATTATTAAGTTACTGAAAATGATATAACGCTTAAATAAATTATGATATTATTGTCGCGTAATACTCTTAAAATGGATTATTGTTTTACTTCGGATAGATAATTAAAAAGAAAAAATAATTTCAATAAAACATATATCGACTGGACAATTATACCAATTGCCTGGTCGTAAACAGAGCAACAGAATTCACTTTGGGGCAACACAATTATTATAATATACAAATATGGCAACGCTGTCCCTTATTCCAAAGTTGTATTTTCTTATATAATGTGTGTGCTGCGTACTAAGTACAATAACCTCATAAAACAAGTGCAAAATAGCTTATTCTTTATCACATGTAAGGTTTCGAACACGGGGCTCTATCCGGCACACTCATGCTCGTATTCCAGAACTCTACTCAATGCTCAAGCCAGGATTTGAGCAGACTTGAGTATGATTTCAAGCACTGGAAATACGACCGCAATGGCAAGGACTTGAGTATGATTTTCAGTGCTCACTGCAATACTCAAGTCCTGACTTGAGTATTGAGTAGAGTTCTGGGATACGACCCTTAGACTAGAATTTAAAAAAAATGTTCATTTCCCAAATCGGTCCTACCGGGAATCGAATCCGAGACCTCCGCATTCAGCACCCACAATGCAAGCCATTGAGCCACCGATGTCGTCAAATGAATGTAAAGGACATTTTTACGAAGATGAACAACAATTTATCTTTCAGCGCATCTCTAGGGAGAAAATCAGACAAATAAATCTATAATCACGCCATAAGTTACACGATAGATGTAAAAACTTTAGTTCAGATGGCCACGCAATGTGTCTGACCTAGCGTTGGTAATAATAATCTAATCTAACATCCCAATTCCGGCAACAAATGGAGTCAGACTATGAATTATCGATATTAGCAGTACATAACGAACATACATTAGTCTCGATAAAGTGACCTCCTAGAAACACTTGTATACATCGTGCTGTATGTTATTAGCACGGATGCGAACCGTGATCCTTCACGTCACACGTTGACTTTTCGTTGATAACTTTGAGTTCTGACCCTGCACTTTGCTGCGATAAAGCGTCTAGCGTAAATACCAGAATAGTCTGTATCATTTGTAATGGTAATTTTCAATTCTATGTATCTACTTATTAGAGTTGACAACAATAGTCATATTTCATGTATGACGATACGTGACGTGACGCATAGACAAATAGTATAATAACGCGTGGGTGTCAAGATACGGAATAGTCTACTGATTTGATACAATGATGAGACTTGACCCGTGCTAATTTAGTGACCTAGTCAATGAATAGATACAACACACAAAACTCATACATAGCTGTGAATTGAACTAAAGCTCAGTGACTCGTGCCATTACAATTAACGAAGAGTGAACGGGTTTAGGCTAAATGGCTTTAATTAAATTAAAATTGCGGAAAATGCATTGTTGTTTAACCGCAAGTGTTGGTGTTATATATTTTTATTATGAATCAGATTTCGTTAGGTATATTGTGGCGATACTTTTAGTAGCAGCGGAGCTCCTTGTGAATGAGTTCGTTTCTGTCGTCAAGCAGTAACATGAGCATTACTGTGTTCCGGTTTTAAAGGGTGCTGATGAAATTACAGGCACATAGGACTTGTCAACTTATGTCTCAGGGTGGCGGGCGTAGTGGCAGTGCCACTCAGACTTTTTCGATTTAAAGCTCTGAATGGCGCTGCATCTGTTATGGACAGGCTTGTCGCCTTATTACCAGGCGCATGATAATAATATTGTTCTCTTATAATTGCTAATTGGTAAAATAGCTGTATAAAATAATAGAGTGTGTCTCATCTAGTGATTACGCTCAACGGAATTTTTAGGTCTTCGTGAAATGAGTAACATAATGAAGATAATGTAGTATAAACACTTCGTGGATTGTTTGTGCGAAACTAGAGCAAGAAATGATTTGATAACACGAAAATAATGTAGTATATACAGTTCTTGAATACTAGAATATATAAATCATGGCAATGTCCTCAAGTTCACTTGGAGCATTTAGAGCGTCCTAAATTAGTTAACACTTTTCCATTAACTACTTAATTAAGCGAATGTTTCTTTATAATTAAATACTTTATTAGGTTAACATTCAAACTTAAGGTAAAAGCATGTTTTAATAAGACATAAGTTAACAAGTAGGTAGGGAGGCAGGTACATAGACCTGTAATTACACCGGTACCCTTAAACTTTGAAACCGAAACGCAGTAATACTCACCTTGCTGCTTGGCGGCAGAATTAAATTTGTATATAAAAGTCAAATGAAACTAAAACATAACTACGGCATCCTTTTCGTTGTCGTCATCATTTGTACTACTGCTTGCTACTTGTTGCATGTATTATCTTACGGTTTATTGTAATATTTAACATATGACAATAGCATTTCATTAATTCACACGCTCATTCGTTCATGTCATTCAGTCATTCAAAATATTTGAAAGAAACAAAGCGTGAATTTAAACGTGAAATGTTAAAATGAAAACGAATACTTTCAAATAGATGTGAAACAATTCTTATGCATAATTTAATGGGAGATAATACTTGAAAGATGGAGTTTTTACGAATATTACTCTGGTACGACCAATACAGAATACCTAAAACAAAATTTAAAATTTTCAAGTTCATTGTGCCAACGTAGCACATGATTAATGCTTCAATAAAGTATTTAATCCGGCTTAAGATATTATATTAATAACTATACAATTTTGACTACATAAAGATACATGCATAATATGTCCACGCTTAAATACATTATAACATTTTTCCATTTGTCATATCAACACGATCGTAAACCATAATGCTTTTATCACCTAGATACGTTACAAACATCATAATGTATTATCCACCCATAACTTTTAGGTGCATGTAACATAGACAAATAGTA